CACCCTAGGATTTTTACCAATTTATTATGAGTACGGAATAGTCTGTTCAGAAATTAATGTATAAGCACTGTAAATAAAACACATTCTTGCACATGTGCTTAACTTTCTTTTAACTTGTGATCATTAGCACAAGTTTTGACTTGTTTTTGAGCTACAGTGAGAATGAAATGACACCGTAAGTTCTCACATGACCAGAATCTCAATTCCTGGATCTAAGTTTTTGTAAAATGAAAAGGTCTGCTTGTGAAAATAAACAGCCTTTAGAGAATGCACAAGCCTTCTTAAAGTCACATATGAGTCATTTCTCGCTCTTTAATTTTGGAATATCATGGTTTTTAGAACTTCTGAAGAGTAACTTAGTTATGTTACAGTTAGTTATGTTATTGCTAAAGTCTTTATTGGCAAAGACCCAGAAGCCAACCATTTCTGAGGTACAGGAAGCAACCAGATATGCAAAGGGAGACAACAGAGAAAACTGCATCTTCAACAGGGTTTGTAATTGTGACTTGTAACATGTATTTGTTAGAGCAAATGGTCATGGTAAAAGGCTTTCCTGTCATATTTTCTGAGGCAACAGCAGCATTCTGTTTTCCTGTCGGTCATCCAAGGATGATGATTTTTCCCTGAAGTATTCCTTCCATCTACGGTTTACCTCTTCTATTATTAGTTATATATACGTTTATATAGATATGAGTGTCATAGAAATTCCAGAGAATAAAAGCAAAAGTCCATTTTTGTTATGACCAGTAGTGTGTTATAAAAGTGATAACACACTATCACTTATGTCAAATCAATAAATTGATGGCATATTATTAATATTAGATCCAGTGCTTACTAATTATCTTTATTTCAATTATAGTGGGGAGCGGGCTGTCCAGTTCAGTGCAAAATCTGTGCTTGGAATTGTATGAACATACACAGAACAGTGTCAGTTACACAAACAGTTTCAAATATGACTGCAGAAATATAACTGCATAATTTTATGCACAAAATGAACAGTGGAGAAGGAAAGGAAACAGTGATAAAAAATTAGGTGTGAAAGGCATTGATAAGATTATACCCCAATTCTTGCTACCAAAATATTCCAAAGTTACTAAGGTATTCAAAAGCAATATGTTTTGAAAAGGGAATTCAGAAGAAATCTAAAGAAAACCAACAAGGTAATTTTACATGTAACTGTAATGCTTGTACATGGGGAGGTTTATATTATGGGACTAAACATGGCTCTACTAGGAATAGAGGGGGTTTCCCTAGGGCCTGGCTGGTTGCTGGTGAATATTATCACAGGATTCACCCCCACTAGTTTAAAAGAGTGACAGCTGCTCCGTTCTTTCAAAGTTTAATTTTAACTCATGATACTGTCGACATTTAGATAAACCTTGGGCCTCTGATTCAAGCTGCCAGCTCCACTGGTAGATAGCGGAGAGAAGAGCACATACGAAGAGCAGGTCATCTCATTCCCGAGCAGGTGCCTGAGATAGGTTTGATTTCCTGTCATGAAATGCATAGCTCCTCGGTGAGAAAAGAAGCCTTGATAAGCAGGTTATGCTACATGCTGAGTTGTAGTCGGTTCAGGTTAGACGAGGTGAATACTGATCAGACAAGAAAAAAAGAGTAAGGACACGGGCAGCCTTGGGCAGATTTAGATGGAGACAGATTGAGCAATTATGTTAAAAAAGAAAGGATATATGGATAGATACAGATACAAATAAATGAGCATTTAGAGAACCACAGATAAAAATTTCAAGGAAACTATTTTAACTATGGGGTCATTATACAAACCGTAAGTACCTCCCGTGGCCATATTTTAAGAGCACCCCAAACTCAGTCCTTTCAAGGAAAATTGCAGGTGTTTATCACTGACGTGACTGTGGTCCGAGGCCGGAGCAGAGAGGTGGGTTAGTCCAAGCACAAGATAGGATAATATTGTGTCCTTGTATCCTGGATAGGATAATCCAAGAGCAGGATAATCTGTCCACCAGGCAGATGCCACCCACACCTGAGGCAGAGGGTTCATCCCATCTAGGAATCACCCAGGATTCTCGATGTCCCATAGGCAGCTGGCACCTGGTACTTAACACCTACATTATTTGCCAGATATCAGCATTTCCTTTCAGGTTTCTCTGTGGTTTTGTTTTCTGGAAGGAGGGGCGGATGGCGGGCAGGAGGGCTTCCCTTGCTAATACAAGTACTACTGGAAGAAAATTTAGTTGCCCATTAGAGCATAAGAAAGGGTCTTAGTGACGGTGAAAACATTGTCTGGGTTTTTAATTAGCTTATGAAACAAATTGTGATATCTGTTCCTTTCAATCTCTTCAAGTTTTTCCTAGGTGTAGTTTTAACAGTCGCCATTAAACTTTTTTTCCCCCCAAAGTATTATCTCTAACACTGAATGAATGCACATCAAATCCTGCAGGCCCTGACAATCACCCTTAATGTGAGCTTCCAGCTGATAGCTTCAGATGTACCTGCCATGAAGAATGTAAGGAGCCGTGTAGTAAAGTTCCCATAAATCATTGTATGGACGGACTATGTCAGGATGGATCACAATGTGATGATCTCTCTGGAGAGTTTAAGTGTCACAGTCTGACTAGTAAAGATCACTTTTGCCATAAGGCATTCTGGGTTTATCAAAAGGAAATGTCTGAAGAATGCAAATGCGGCATTTCTGGAAAATAATTTTAAATACATGGCTGTTAAAATTCTATTATCTAAATTCATAAAGTATCATTTTTGCTTATAAAAGAAAAATAAACAGTCAGATTCCTTATTTTTATAGGAAATCACGTATTCTTAAGTATTGACTTTGTTATGCTGATAAACTTACACAAGAAAGCAGCCTATGTGGTATTGGTTCCTGAAACCATGACCGCTATTTTTCGCAAATATAGCAGTTTTTCTAATACCTGACAAGGCTGCAATATTTTGATAATTAATTTGAAATAGAGTCAAAAACATACATAGGCAGTGATCCTTACCTACAGTCTTTAAAGTTATGATGAGTGTTTTTTTTATTTGTCAAATAAAAATTTATGATGGCTTTTCTGTATACAGTACTTCCACTTGGGTAAGAATGCTCTATAACCACATGTAACAGTTGTAGGTATATCTCTGTATTACTGTTACCATAATTGCTTTTACTCCTTTATATTAATTTTAGGGAATACTTCCATAAGCAAATGTTAACAATAAGGCAAAAATGAGAGATATGCTTGATTTTTTAATAGGAATCAACAGGGATGAAAATTTCAGCTATATCAGAATGATGGAATAGAAACAGAGCTTTAAGACACCTTTCTGCTTCTTCTGATTTAGAAACCAAAGTGACTGCACGTGTAGGGCAGTTTCACTATGCATTGTCTTGTATTTATGCCTCCAATGCTGACTATACTAGTAAAACTTTTTAAAGCACGATATGTTTCAACAGTTTACCTTGATGGTCAGAAGTTACTGTCCTGCCTAATGTAATCAGCTGTACAAAAATGAAAAGTTCTTCCAGATCAGGAGCACTTCAGTGGTGCCCTAAGGACATGGTTTACATTTCCTTTAATTTGAAATGTATGCCACTCCAGGGCCAAAAACTTTAATTTTTATAATAATATATTACATTGGACCTGCACTTGATGAGTGATAGAAGATTAGAGTTGTGGTTAGATGTCAAAGCTGTCACAGTGAACTGCAGGAATACAGATTTGTTTGGTGGTCTTTGAATTAATCAACATTTTGCACAACAGTGAGGAAAAGGAAGAGAAATTTGGTCAAGGTAAGACGTGGAGTAACTCACTAGCGCACTGGACTCCTGCCTGGTAATACCTGTGCTACTGAAGCAATGGATTCCCACATAAATCTCTTTTAAAATGAGATGTGAAGTCCAGATATTCAGCCAGACTTAGTGTCCAATTTTATGAGACATTGGAATTAATTATTTTTAATTATTTTTAGCTCGATGAACCAAATGCCTGTTTTAAGTCTTCATGCTGCAATTCTTAACTTATAATAAATTGGTCCAGTCTCTTTTGATCTTCACTAGATCTTTTTTTTCCAGATGATTATTTTACAAGAACCTCAAAATCTTTCAGAAACCTTTTCAGTTGTCTCTGAAAGGGAAAATAAAAAGCTTTATAGTTACAGCAGAAATATCCGATGTTTGAAACTCAGTTTTTATATCCAGCACTTGGATTCTAGCTGCGCACACAATAGCTTGTATAAATTACTACAAAATTATTTTTAAATGACTGCATTTCAGTAAAGTATATTTACTTATAATTCTTAGTACTTATAATTAATCAGAATATTTACTTATAATTCTTTATGAAGCGTATTCTAAAATAAAGCCCCTGTGTCTTCCACTAGCTGCATAATTTTCTTGTTGGATAATGGTTTTAGAAACTGTTACGCCTTTGATAATATGCCCTAATTGTAAAATCTAGAATCAGATTTTATCTTTGAAGTTATTTTTTAACTTTTTTGTGTGTTGCAATAGGAAACAAAATGCTCAGTGTTTTACAAGTTTGGGTTTCCCATTAACTATGAATTTATTGTCAATGCTTGTATTATATGCTTTGTAACAGAATTTAAAGTTTTTTTTTTTTAACTTGGTAAATATAGGATATTTTCCAAAAGAAAGGACCTAAAAGAAGAACCTCTAAAATAAGGATTTCATTTAGTCTTCATACCAATATTCTGACAAAATTATAAATATGAGCATAAAACCACTTGAAGAAATTGTCATTTGATTAACTTCTCAATGAAGAGCCATGGTATCTTGAATGCTTTTTATCATTGCAAGTATGGTCTTATCATATAGTAGTTTTTTGGAATCCCTTTTCCTGTGAATTGGAAACTTTCAATGGAACTGAAACGCTTTAGCCTAAACAAAGTTTCAAGTTATAAGAACACAAAAGTACTCACCAAGATCAGCATTGATCCCTTCTTTGTTTGTTTTCTGAGATTAAATATGACAATAAAACATATTTTCTTCTATTGCTGTTTTTTGATAGGGTTTACTGGTCAGCGTTGTGAAGCAGATGTTGCCAGCTGCCTGTCACAACCCTGTGGAGCCCTCAGCATCTGCAATGATACATTGGGTGGCTATCTTTGCTTCTGCGCACCTGGTTTTATAGGTGGGCTCAAGGATTCTTGGGGGAAAGACCTGGTTAACACAGTTAATTGTTTAAATTAGTCCTAAACCACAGAAAATGAAGTAATTCTGAAGAAACAATTTAGCAGCATTCCCCACTCGGGCAAAATCAACTGTTGATTTCTGGCACACGGGAGTATTCAGCTGTGTAGACGTATTCAGTTGTAAAAAATACCAACCTCAGGGGACTATTTCCACTCCAATAACTCTTACTTCATATTATTTTAGACAGTGGTCTGCCTAACACTGATGCAATTGCACCTCTTGTAGCTATATACAAGTTAGCCTTAATTTACATGCTTTGTGCTTCCCATAACAGTGCAGCTACAGTAAGAAGGGCCTCAACATCCAAATATGTGTTCAAGATGCTGGGCAGGCTTAATTCTTCATACTTGAACCTATCCTGCACATCACTGTCATTATACCTGACTAGATTTCAAGTTAGCTTAGACATGTCATCACTGTCACTATAATTCCAGACAGTAGAGAGAAAAGGAGCCTTTCAGATTCAGATCTTCCTACTCACCTCTAAGACGAGAGGAATTCCCTGGGCGATGGGTGGCCTCCGTGGCCCAGACCCCTCCTGTCCAACTGCAGTGATACTCAATCATGGACTTTCATCAGGCTCCTAAAGGCTGACCTGACTGCCTCCCTATGGCCAAGGAGGCCACAGGCAACCAGAGGGATTCATATCTTGTGTAGACGCAGCCATGTTCCCCACAGCCCTTAAAATATTGCTCTGTCTCCTAATGCAGGCATATTTTAATTTAATAACTGTAGTGTTTGTGTCTGTAATATAATGAAATGCCATATCTTATTGTAATGTTTTGTTTTTTACTACTAAAATCTAAACTATAATTGTTGCTACTTGTGATAAATTCTTGCCGAAGTCTTGTTTTATTCAAATGTTTGTACTCACATCTACATAATATTAGATTACCCTTTTTTATTTTTTACTTTCTCTGTGGGCAAAAAAACAAATGTAACCCACAAAACCCCTTTGAAAAAATCAGGAACTTTTTTTTCATATCTCTTAAGTAATAACAAATGTGTTGCTAATTTTACTGATGTGGGTAATTCATACATAAAATACAAATGCAAATAAATGCTTTCTAAAATTAGTTTTACCTCGCAGGCAAGAAAAAGCATTAAGCACATCTCTTCCTGACGAGACATCAGCTGCTGTGTTTTCTTTTTTATCCTGCACATCCGACACTACCTGATCACACCTAGTTTTCTGAATATTAGTTCTGAACTGAAAAAATTTCACCAAAAGCTTTGGTGACAACCAAAACACTTTTATGTATTTCCCATGGAAATCTTCAGAGCATAACTGAAAATTTAAGAAATGATTGAAAAAAATGTTATAGAAAAAGACTGTGGCACCTTATTATTTGTTTTTAGAAACTGTACCTGCACTTTTATCATGTTTCGGGAAAATCCAAGACTTTACCACTCTCAAAATAATAAAACACCGATTTTTGAAGACATCTATAAATGAATCTCTAAAACTTCCATTGTGTCTTTGTTGAACATTAGGTATTATGTACACGCTTCACTTTTGCTCGTAAGCAGCAAGAAATAAATTCCCTGAAGACAATTTGTGGCTCATTGGTAAAATTCTCTGCACGTAACCTCAGTTATTTCATTTTGTTGTTGCTGCTTGCACTGGACGCTCACCGGTGACATGTTCCTAATGAAGTGAATCCTTCACTTCTTCCCAGGTAATAACTGCGAGATTGAGGTGGATGAGTGTCTCAGTGACCCTTGTCACAACGGAGCCACGTGTGTTGATCATCTGAATGCCTTCCGGTGCCTCTGTCGGGATGGATTTCAAGGTATTAAAGAAGCCAGAAAACTCCACCTTCATAGACCTGCTCGGAGGTTTATACTAGTATTTACATTTTACATTAGGAGAGCATATTATTTTAAGGTCACCTGAAGTTCTAAACTTGTACATTCTTCATCTTGTAAAAAGCTATCCATTATGCTTGCATGGCAGCGTGGAAATGAGGGTTTGCTGCTGGCTGGCGGATTTCTTGTTAGAAATGTGTAAGTTGGGTTCAGTTAAATTTTGAGTATAGTATATCCCCTTTCCTGCAAGCTTTTTAAACAATTGGCAAATCTAATGTAATAGAATTAAAGGATAAACCTGTGTGGAGAAGGTTTTCTTCTTGGCATATTTGTACAATTTATATGAGAAATGTAACCACTTTGGTAATTGTATGTACTTATATTTGCAGTTGTTCTTTACTTTTGTCTCAGATTAGGAATTTAACAGGTATCCATTTTCTTTTTAGTGCATCATTTTTTAAACAGCATGGATGCTTACTTACTGAAGTACCGAAGCAATGAGTAATTTAAACAGCAAAGGGAAGAATATCAAATTTCTACTGCAAGTGCTAATCTGAACAACTACAGCTTGCATAGTTATTTGTTAAAATATTTAAACTTCCAGACTTCGCAATTTTATTTGATTTTTGCATTTATTCTTCAAATGCTAAAAAATTAAGATCATTCAGAAATATTTGTAATAAGAGGGGTTTTTTAGATTTTAAGTACCTTTGTGGTTATGCTAGCTATATTCTAGGCTAGAATAAATGATTTCTTGTCTGCATCTTCTTTTTTTTTCCCATTTGCTGAGCCTGCATCTCTTGCATTTATCATGAACACAAGGAAGATTTTCTCTCATGACATTGACATGAACTCTATTACATTTCAATGTAATTCGTTTTCTGTACTTCTGAACTGATATATACTAATATGATGTACAGGAATCAATTCAATAACTGGTAAGACTTTGCTTTTAATCCTTTGGGGAAATTACTGAAAAACTTGAACATTAAAAATGTCAGCATATAGCTATAGTTGCCCAAATTTGAATATAAAAAGGCAGTTGAATAGATTTCAGCAGGTCAGTTGTATTTAGTTAAAATAAATGTAGGTATTTAATTATATGGGTTATATAACAACTTCTCTCCCTTGTGCCTGATTGTGTATTTATAGGTGCAACTTGTGAAACAAACATAAATGAGTGTCATTCCTCTCCATGTCTTCATAATGCAACATGTGCAGATCTTATAGGTGGCTACGAATGTATCTGTCTACCTGGCTTTACTGGTGAGTGATATTAGCACTAAGACTTGTTTTCTACAGAAAGGCAGTCCACAAGGCATCCATTAAGACATTATTGACTAAATTGCTTGTGTTTCCTTCTCATTTCTCTTTTTCTGCCCTGGTCTAATGTTTCATTTGCATCCCAACAAACTGGAACAGTGACTCCATCTGTAAACTAAAGAGCACAAGATAAATTATTCTCTACCAAGAAAGCCTTGCAAGCTTCCACACACTGCAAAGATTATCTAGTATTTAGCAGCTCTGAAATAAGTTGTTAGTATTTGTGGTGAGGAGAATTAAAAGGCTGCTGACATTAATAAGTGTGGGTTTTTATTTGACTGATTAATATTAGCTTTTCCTCACAAGCTGCTTGAGATTCTTACGGTGCAAATGAATTATAAATTGGTGCCTGCTTGTCTTACTAAATCTTCAAATCTTTTGTCTTTCCAAAGGGGCAAGATGTGAAACAGATATAGATGAGTGTGCTTCATTTCCCTGCAAGAATAGAGCCACCTGCATTGACCAACCTGGTAATTACTTCTGCCAATGTGTGGCTCCATTTAAAGGTAATGAACACCAAGGGAGAGGGGAAAGCAAACATAATTAACTTTAGAAAGCATTTCTGTCAATTGTCTGAACTGATTTCACTCTTCCTACGGCATTATTAGTCCTTCATTTTATCAAGCAATGCTTTTAAAGTGACCAGCCAATTATGCCTTAGGCTGCGAGTAATGTGAAGTAAACTTTGTTTATACATCTACTAGGAGTGTTTAGTTATTAATCAAAATGGATTCTGTAAAATCAGGTTGTTAACAGAATAACATTATTTGTGAGATTTGAGGCATATGCCCTTTGAGCAGCCATCTCAAGCATGCACTTCAATGTATTTTTCTCTCTAATTTGATTATTTGTGGAATTTTGCAATTTATTTTTCTACTCTCAGAAAGTACTTTATCTTGGCATCCACAAATTGTGTGTGATTAATTCTGTTCGCGGTTTTAAAGGAAATGCTTTAATGTAATCATTTCAAATAAATTTGCAGGGGGGGTAACTTTAAATACTCAATGCTAAAATAGCTCATAATAACCAACTATACAGCATTATCAAGTGAATGTAGTGTAAAAAATAGTTTCAATTAAAGGGGTCTGTTGATCTATAAATTAAATATAAATATATTTTCCCCCTACAATTCAATATAATGATGCATATTTAGGATTGCCGAATGATCATTAAAAGACAATTTTCCTGTTTTGTTGAGGCAGCAGGGTTTTTCCCCTTTAAGGAAGATGGTTGCATTAAATTCATCATTCTTGAGAAAGAATGAGCTCTAATTTTTGTTCTTATTATTTTAGTTAATGGTCAAAATCTAGTTTGTCATTTTTATTAGTTTTAATTTACGTTCTGCTGAATAAAATCTAGCATAATAACAAGTCAATGAGTACCACAATTTCAGAATTGCCTCTGCTTAGAGCGATGTGAAACCATTTTCAGCACATGGTTAGAAACAGTGATCTTTTATGTGCTTATTCTGCAAGGAGTCAGATTTTCAGAAGACTTCAGTATTTATTTTGTTATTTAAGTAAGTGATTAAAATTTCAGAAAGAGAACATTTCTGAGGTCATCCTTCCAGAAACTGGCAGTTTCTAATATTGGCAATACTAAGGTTAAATCCCTTTGGCATGATTCATAAATGGTAACTGAAAACCTAATATTCTTAGTACAGGATGCTTATAATCTGTAGGGTTCCTGTTAAAGTAAATGGGTTTTGAGACTCTTTGCTACTTCACAGCCTTATGCAGTGCCTTTAAAAAACAATTTTTTTCTCTAGATATTTTGATGGGGTAAGTAAAAGCAAAAGTTGATTCGTTCGAACAGTCTACCTCAGTCGCACACCATCCGTTTGTTTAGTTTTGAACTGCTGTAAATGTAAGCTCTAACTCATTCACAGTAAGTCAGCACAAGTAATGGCTAGTTCAATTGTATTTTCAGTTGTGTGAAAATATTCAGGTTATCATAGTTTTTGTGCACTAATTCCAGCTTACAGAAGTGTTTTATTAAACAAGTAAACACTTTATTAATGGTAAAAACTGTATCACTATATCTGTTTTATTTTTGAAATACTTCCACAGAAATTGCCATTTTCATAGAAAGGATTTGGAGTATGTCTTATTTCAAACTTTTTTGGTATCCCAAATAAGCACATTCAGATTTTCATGCATATTTACATTTACATTAGTCCAAGGTGAATTTGAAAATTCTTCACATATTTTTTTAAAGTATAACTTGCTTGTATTTTTTTTAAAGGAAGCACCTGTGTACCTTGACAAAATGTTTTTGCTTTTGTCATTGGCTTGTATGGCATAAAGGAAGACTTCCCAAGCTCTCAACAGCCATGATGGCTATGATAGAAATGGAATTTTCTTTAAATGTGTGACAGTCCATGCTGTGCAAATTAGCTGTGCAAGCCTGATGTGTACGTGATGCATTAGCCTTCCTTCCCTGGGGCACGGATCATTTTGTAAAATCTGATTTCCATGGTATCATCAACGAATGGTTGCCGGGATGCTAACAGTGACACTGCTAATACATTGATCTCCATTATTATTGTCCTGAAAGAGGATTTCCTCATAGCTGTTGCAGATCACAGTTCTTTCTTTACTTTGTAATTTTTAATTGGAATTCTAGTCACTGGAATTGCTACCTCTCACTGAAATACCTGAGTGCTATTTACCATATTAACATTTATACATAATATAGTATAATGTCCTCTTAACATGGAAATTTGACCTAAATATATAGAGCGTGTGGCTTCTGCTAGGTTCCAATACATCAGTCACTGCAAATATGCTATTATTTTAGAAATGTATTTCTTTCCTATCCTACCATATCTGAGGTGCCTTGTGGACATTTATTATCAGAGGATATTCTGAAGGTAAATTGTTCAGAAACAAAGAAAGGGGATCAGCTGGTTTTCTGTTGCATTCCCATGTGGCTAAGTAACTGTTGCAACTGGGAGTATAAAGCAAGAGAATTTCGGTTTGGGTGCAGAACAAATAATAAATTTTAATATTAGCAACAGGAGATGGGAAGAAATAGAAATCAGAAATATATTTAGCTACACTTTTGACCAATATATTATCACTGATAGTCTTTGGCAGTAATATATTTATTGCAGTGGTAAGTAGTCCTCTCGATGCTTGTATGAGGTTGGTTCCAGTATCCTAGCTGGGGAGTTCTTATAATAACTTTTCTATTATGATATTGATTTTACAATTGGAGCCTTTATATAATAGAATCACACTTATTATAGAATTGATATTAAGTGTTTCAGAAGAGAGAAGAGCATGCGAGAAACTTCTTGTGAGACTGTATCTCATTTAGGACTCCTAACTATTTCATGGAAGGTTAAATGAGAGCTCCCGTGCCTCTATAAGGAGATGCTATCTTGTCCCATTAAAAATTCATGCATGATTCAAGAATGCTGCAGCTGGTAAATTTTATAGTCCCCAGTGGTATATTTTATCTGTATTTGCCATGGTGCTCCTTCCATGTGGAAGTGTGTTAAATACACAGTACAGGTTATTTATAGAGAATAATGGCAAGCGCAACTTGATAATAATTATGGTTTGAAGTCAGCTTGCAATTTTATTTCCAGTGAAAGTGAGAAAAGCTCCTTAATATTTTATTCTAAGGATTTAAAGAATATTTTTCTAAACCTCAAACCTACCATTTTTTCCCAGTCCCTTGCTGGTTTCCATTGTAATTTTCAAAATATATTTTTTGTCATAACCTATTTATTTTGTTTTAAGGCTGAAAAATATCCTTTATAGTCTTCCATCTGTGTCAGCAAAATCAGAACTGTCTTTCTGGATTGCTATAGTTTTATATGCTTTATTTAGTTTTAAGTCTTCACATGCCTTAGAGCTAGAGGGGCCCATAATTTTTTTTTTTTTGAATTATTTTGCCCTTGCTCAGTTCTGTGAAGGGAAAGGAAGTAATACACACAATTTCATTCATGTCAATTGCTTAAAAGTATTCAGACAGAAGAGGTGGCGCCTGGCTGCACCACTGCTCTACTCCAGTTTTATGTGTCTTGGTAAAACTGGCCAACTACACAGATGAATCTTTCCTAAAGTTTAAGTTCTTTTATTGCACATCTGCATTCAAGGTACTGCTGCATGCTTTGCCCCAGTTTAGCTGTTTCATCCATATTTAGTCCTATTGTGCCCCAAACCTTTTGGATGTTCTACAAGAACTTTGCGATATATTCGATGTCTTTCTGACACTAGGTCCATAGCTATAAATACGACCTTACTGTTCCCAGCCGGGAGTGCTGACATTTTTAAGTACCACAAACCACACTGGTGAAACTAGTCCTACCTATTAGACACATCCGTCCTGCCTGAGGGCCTATCAGAGTGGGATCAGCCCTATGCCAGCCACGCTGCTTATAAGGACTCCCAGCCTGTCAAAGGAGAATGATATCACTGCAATTTTAAGACCTGCTCACTTTCACAGAAGGTAAAGTAGGTCTTAAGTCTGTTCCATCCTTAATAGGGATAGAAAACAAGGAACGGATCTTGCACTTCTACACCAGAACTAATTTTTTTCTCCCCATTTTCTACACTGGGAAAAAAGAAAAATGTGACCCAAACAAACAACTTTAACAACATTACTGTGAGCCAGTCTTCTGCTCTACCCAAGAAATATTCAGCAGGCAAAGGAGGCATAAAAATGTCTCTCTCTGGTAGACTGTATATTTTGATACATGATAGGCCTGTAATAGCTACGCACATTTTCTTTTACTATTTTTTAAAGAGCTCTTTAGTATCTTGTTTCCAATAATTGGAGCAAGTAAGTTTATCCTTTGATCCAAATTATTGCGTGACTCATTTAAAAATGCACTGTATTTATTTGGTCTAGATAGTACTAATAAGTATGTCCTTTTTAATCAAATATGTGTAATTGTAGAGGAAAATTGAAATTCTGTTCTGAGGAAATGTCTACTTATTTGCTGCAGCCTTAATGACACATGTCTCCAAATGTGTTGCAATTAAGATTAAAGCAAAAATGGTAATTGGCCATTAAACATGTTGCAAAAGAAAGTAAACCAGTGATACAGGCAACTCAGCAGAAAAAAAAATGCTTAAGTCTGTTGAAAAGCAGGAGTAATAATGGAGTTTTCAGCATAGGACACTATTATGGGAACAGCTAATTACAAAACAGATAATAAGTAAGAAATTTAAGTGCTCATGAAGGCAAAAAGATAATGGAGCAATTAGTTTTTCAGTTCTCATAGGGCAAATCTCAGTCTTTCCTGTGCCAAGTACCATGCAAAAATGCATTAGTGCGGGACTTGTGTCCCTCTCCAGCATATCCCTGTGCTAGAACATAGAAGAATATCTCCTGTTCGACACCAGTCCCTATCAACTTTTGTCACTCTCTTCGCACTGAGCAGCCAAATAAAATCTTTTTTAGGGGAAAAATTAAACTAGTGCAGAGACCTATGTATGGTACTTTGCATTACATAGGAATTTTTCATGGGTAAACAGTGACCATATTTATGACACATGATCTAAAAAATGCGTATTGGCTCTAAGTAAAAAAGCAGGATTGATGTAGTTGATCTAAAAGACTATGTGGTGCCAAAGTTGGAATCAGTATGGACTGGAACTTGCTATTAGCCTATTTACATTCACTGTATAGCCTATATACATTCATGAAGTTCATTGCAGAACTTCACTGGTATTTTTACTGGTATTTTCACTTTTTTTTTTCCCCTAAAAACTGCCATTTAGATATGTAAGACCAGGTGGGTTTGTCTCCAAAATTAAAGAATTCTCAGAGCAAGTCTGTTGCCTAACCATGTCTAGTGTCAGTTTAGATACATCTAAATGTCCAGATATCTGAGATATCCGCAAAGGTCTGGCAGATATGGCAAGATACATAGGAAACCCAAGGTTGTCCAGAGCAGCGCTGAGAACTCAAATGCATCTCAAAAGCTGCTAGTTGCTTAGCTGTGGCATATGATGTGCTTTCAGCTCTGCCTTCTGTTTGCACCTTGGGACACACCTCGATCAATAAGAAATATTTCCTAAGCCTTTATAGCTCTGGGAATATTGCATGTGCGAATCCAGTCACATGTAGCAGGGAAGGGGGTGTGAACCTCACTAGTCATTCTGTGAGAACGGAGTGTGAGGACCTTGCCTGCATGGAGGTCAGTTACGTAGATGACAGGAAGGTGCATTCATGAGAAGGTCTACGAATGCCTTCCTCAAAGCGTTTTCCAGTAATTACATGCAAATCATAATTTTTCAAATCACAACTTAAAGCATGGTGCTTTTCTTCTTGTCTCTCTTTCAAATTATGAGGCTGTTGGGAGTTCTTCAGAAACAAAGTTTGGACTTTTTTTGTGGGGGTAGGAGGTCTTTTGGCTGCTCAAACAAATATTTGAAGTTTTATTTTTCTAAATGTTTATAAAAGCATTCTGGTGTAGGAACATTTGCCAATGCAAATCAAAATAATGAAGGAATAATCTTTGTACCACCTACTGTAAAAGTGTCAGACCAAATGCTTGTAATCTCACAAATTTGATGAAAAAAAAGAGGTTCTGAAAATGGAGAAGCATTTGGTTATGTGAACTATGCTATGGCAGCCATTAATCTATCTGTAAATGGTATCAAATGTCCTAAACAATGAGGGAAAAATGAGTTTTAGAATAGCTGTAAATTTTTCCATGTATATCAGTAATTTCTGTTTAATTCTGGTTCAATAAACAGTGATATGAGACAACAAAGAAAAGAAATCATCTTCTTATACTTTAGCTGGAAGGAAATTTCTGGTAATTGTTTTGCATAATAGCTTTCTTTTTTGAGAGAGAAAATGAAGCATGTCTTTATATTGAAATGTGAAAAGAACAAATATGGAAATAGACTTGCATTTCCATTGTTCTGTATTGCAAACTTGTGTTTTTATTTTTAAAAAAAGAAAAAAAAAGAAACTGAATTATATCTTCAAATTTTTTTTGACTGTTTTTACAGAAATGTATACAGGTATGAAGCAGTAAGACAGGCATCTCTGTGTGGTTTTCATTTTAAGTTTGTGATTTGGGTCTATCTCAAGCTTTGATCCAGCCCTGTTGCATGGCCTGCATTATCATACACAATTAAGGATTTTTTTTTTTTACTTGAGAAGTGCTAAGTATTGCTTTTCAAACATTCTTACTTAAAAAGAAATAACTAAAAGATTTTCAATTTGTATGGATTTCACAGAAAATGTCTTTTCACAGAATGTATATACTATTACAAAACTGTGTCTCACAGAAAGTAGAATTTGCATTCCAAGGAAAATAAAGCTTTTGCTATGAATTTGAATCATCAGAAAGGCTTGTTTTCTCTTTTAAATTGGTAGAGCAATACTTTGCTTCTTTTTAAGTAATATCAACATATGCATGCATCTCCAAGTATGTGTTTTTTCCTATCCACTTCCAAAGTACTTCGAGTTTTTATTTACGTATACTAGACTTCAGTCGTCACAATCATGCAGGCGTTTGTTTGTTTGTTTGTTAATAGAGAAAAACAATTCTAAACTAATGGTAAGATAAACAGTACACCTGAACTTTTTTGAGGTTTTAAAAAATGACAATTTGGAATATTTAATAAAGACAATTTAATATTCAGAATTTTAGGATTCCATGGACCTCAAATCTTAAGCACATAACTTATTGCTTATTAGTATTGTCAGAAATTGTCATTATATTAAAATACATTTATTTGTATTTGTGAAGGGACGGAAGGACTAATCAATATCAAATTAAAATAATTTTAATAGTAGATGTATCAGCTAACTTCAGAAACACTCTTTGGAAGAAACATAGACTTGTGTACAGATTGGATGCAGGATTGTGGGAGTATTTTTGGTTTTGTATATAGCTTTATAGTTCCCTTGCATACTGGTATATCTGCCAGAACAAAACACATTTGTGCTTTATTTAATGTATTTAATTTATTTAGATTTGCCCGAGAAGACATGGTCCTTACTGACTTTAATGTTAGAACTGTCTTATAGCACTGCTGTTATGAGATCAGATATAGAAAAAAATGAAACATAATGCTGCCGCAAAAAAAGAAAATCATAATAATAAATTACAATAATTAAAAAACATGGAAAACATCTGAGAAAAATATATTTATTATTAAAGTGACATTAGTTGTTAGTTTTCAATGCAGACATTAAATTTGGTTACTGCCATTTTGAAAAAAATGATCTCTTTAAGCATTCTAAGACTTCAGATTATAAACCAAACAGTATAAATTTGAATAAAACATCCCTGAGTGCATATGAATTTTTGAAAATTTTCTTATATTTATGTGAGTCCTATAAAGCTAATTTGTTTTTCTTGCCTTGTCTCTGAAAAATAAAGGATAGCTTTCCTCTCCATGCTTTCCCTGCTGACATCCCTTAACCTGGTGTAATTTTCTCATTTCATAGAAGCAAAATGCTATTAACTTCATTCCTATGATATACATCTGTTTCAGTTCAGATACAAGTGGAAGTATAAAAGAAATAATATAGTTTGACAGTTTCAGCTTGAAGTAATGGTGCAACCATTCTTTCTTTTGATTAAAGCTATTATTATACTTAATGTTGTGATAGCACGTCTGATATTGAAATCACATTCTAAATCTAAAGGACATATTGCCTCTTGAGAGACCTATTTGGAAGAATCCCATGGGCTAGGGCCCTAGAAGGAAGGGGATCCAAGAGACCTGGTTAATATCCAAGCAGCACTTTCTCCATGCTCAAGATTGGTGCATCCTGTGTAGTAGGAAGTCAGGCAGGGGGGTGAGCAGGAGGCCTGTGTGGATAAGCAAGGAGCTGCTGGTAAAACTCCAACAGAAGAAGACTGTAAGCGGAAAAAAAACAGGCTCCTTGCCAGGGAATGCAGAGATGCAATAAGGAAGGCTAAGGTGCATTTGGAAATAAATCTGTTAAAGACAACAAGCAGAGGTTATTCAAAGATATCAGTGACAAAAGGAAGATCAGGGAAAACGTGGGTCTGCTGGTGAACAGGGTGGGTGCCCTGGTTACGAAAGACACAGAAGAAGCAGAGCTACTGAATGCCCTCTTTGCTTTGGTGTTTACCAAGGGAAGATCTCTGGAATACCAGACCCTTAAAACCAGAGAAGGTGCCTGGAGAGAGAAAGACTTGTCCTGGGTAGAGGAAGATTGGGTAAGAGAGCACTAGACATCCACAAATCCATGAGCCCTGATGGGATGCACCCGAGAGTGCTGCATGAGCTGGCAGATGTTATTGGTAAGCCACTCTCCATCATCTTCAAAAGGTCCTAGAGAATGAGGGAGGTGCCAGAGGACTGGAAGAAAGCAAATGTCACACCAGTCTTCAAATATGGCAAGAAGGAGGACCCAGGAAATTAAAGGCCACTCAGCCTCACCTCCATCCCTGGAAAAGCCATGGAGCAGCTCTCCCTGGCTCTTGTGTCCAAACATGTGGAGGATAAGAAGG